GAGGGGGGATTTGGGGGAAAATTTGAGGGTCCCGGGGGGGATTTTTTGGGGAACTTGGGGAGAATTTGGGGTTTGTGGGAGGATTTTGGGGAATTTGGGGGTCCTGGGGGGCATTTTGGGGTGGCCCGGAAGGGAACGGGGGGGTCCAGGTGGGGTTGGGCTCCTGGAAGGGAATTCGGGTTCGCATTTGGGATTTTGAGAAGAATTCGAGCCCGAATTGAGGAGGGGTCTCCATTCTTTGGGACCCCTCCCCACAGGAGCAGGACGAGACCACCACCATGTTGGCCGATTTCATCGACTGCCCCCCCGACGACGAGAAAACCTCCGAGACCCCTCTGTAAACCCCCCCCTAAAACCCCCAAATTCCGGGGGATTCCCCCCAATAAACGCCGCCCCCTCCCCAAATTCAACCCGCGCCTCTGGTCCTCCGCGCCGCTAGGGGGCGCGCTGCGCCCGGAGCAGTCGAGTCTCTTCGGCGCCGCGTGACGTCACAAAAGCGCGCCAAGAAGACGCGGCCGCCATTTCGGCTCCGTGAGGGTGAAGCCGCCGCGATGAAGCCGCCGCGGCGGCCCCGCCTGATCCCGGCGCGGTTCGCGCGGCTCCCGCCGAGCCCCGAGCGGCCGCAGCGGGGCTCGTGGGCGCTGCAGGAGAAGCGGGCGCTGCTGGAGGCGCTGCGGGCCGAGGCTCAGCGCGGCCTCCCCGAGCCGCGGATGGCGGCGCTGAGGGAGCGGCTGCCCCGCAAGAGCGAGGAGGAGGTGGGGAGGGAGGGAGGGTGGGGGGCGAGCCCAGGAGACCCCCGAGGGACCCTCAGAGCGCCTAAAAGGGTCGGGGGTCGCCCCCTCAGAGATCCCCGAAATTCTCGTCAGAGACCCCCAAATTCCGCCCTCAGAAATCCCCAAATTGCCCCTTCAGAGATCCCAAAATTCCTCCTCAAAGAGCCCCCACATTCCCCCCTCAAAACTCCCAAATTCCGCCCTCAGAGATCCCCAAAATTCTCGTCAGAGACCCCCAAATTCCCCCTCATGGATCCCCAAATTCCGCCCTCAGAGACCCCCAAAATTTCCCCTCAGAAAAGCCAAATTCCCCTCAAAGACTCCAAAAATTCTCCCCTCAGAGAGCCCCAAATTCCTTCCCAAAGATCCCTAAATTTCCTCTCAAAGACCCCCCTCAAAATTCCCAAATTTCTCTCAGAAAACCAGAAAATTCCCCTCAGGGACCCCCAAAACTCCCCCGAATTCCCCTCGGGGACCCCAAAATCCCACCCAGGACCCCCTTTAGGGGAATTTTTTGGGGAGAATTTTTCACATTCCCCAAAATTTCGCCGCCTCGGGATGAAATTTTGGGATCCTGGAGCGGGAGAGGGGGTGGATTTTACGGGAGAAATTCCCAAAAAATTCAGGAATTTCGGGGAAATTTTCGGGAAAATCCCCCAAATTTGGCCTCTCAGGGGTTCCCAACCCCCCCAAAAATTTTGGGGATCCCCGAATTTGCCCCGATTTTGGCAGATCCGGGCGATGCTGGTGCGGCTGCGGGGCCGGGCGGCTCGGGAGGCGCTGAGCTCCAAATTCCGGAACTTTCTGCAATTCCAGAGCAGGATCCGCGCCCCCATCCAGGTTTGGGGGGGTTTGGGGAATTTGGGGGATCCTGAGCTGGGAATTTGGGAGTTTTTTGGGATTTTGGGGCCGGATCCACACTTCTATCCAGGTTTGGGGGGGTTCTGAGCTGGGAATTTGGGAATTTTCTGGGATTTCCACGCCCCCAACCAGGTTTTGGGGGGATTTTTGGGAATTTTTGGGGGTCCTGAGGGGGTTTTGGGGGTCCTGAGGTGGGCATTTGGGAATTTTTTGGGATTCTGGAGGCGGATCTGCTCCTCCATCTGGGATTTGGGGAGTCCTGGGGGGATTTTGGGGTGATCTGAGGTTCCCAAACCGATTTTTGGGATTCCCTACCAAATTTTTGGGTTTTCCAGATGGATTTGGGTGTTCCCAACCCCAATTTTGGGGTTCTAGGGCTGATTTTTTTTGGGGTTTCAGGGATTGTTTTTGGGGTTCCAGAGCAGATTTTTGGGGTCACATGACGATTTTTGGGGTCCCGGAGCTGATTTTTGGGTTCCAGAGCAGATTTTGGGGGTTTCAGGTCTGATTTTGGGGTTTCAGAGCAGATTTTGGGGTTCCTGGGCCGATTTTTGGGGTCCCAGGGCCGATTTTGGGGTTCCCAGGCTGATTTTTGGGGTTCCAGAGCTGATTTTGGGGTTCCCAGGCTGATTTTTGGGGTTCCAGGGCTGTTTTTTTGGGGGTTTCAAAGCTGATTTTGGGGTTCCAGAGCTGGGGGTTTTTTTTTAGAGCTGATTTTGGGGTTCCAGGGGTGATTTTTTTGGTGACGCTGGCGGCCACGGAGCCCCTGACCCTCGAGCACTCCAGACCCCCCCAAAATTTGGGAACCCCCGCAAATTTGGGGCCTTCCCAAAATTCGGGGACCCCCCCGGAGGTGGAGACCCCCCAAAATTCGGGGTCACCCCAAAATCCCGGGGGGTGGGAGGTGGATTTTGGGAGGATTTACGAGTTCCTGGCGCGGATCAGCGCAGGGGGGAAGGAGCCCCCCCTGAGCCCCGCAGGTGAGGGGGGACCCCAAAATTTTGGGGGGGGGGGAGAAATCCCAAAAATATAGGGGGGAAAATCTAAAAATTTGGGGAGAAATCCCAAAAATTTGGGGGAGAAATCCCAAAAATTTGTAGGGAAAACCCAAAAATTGGGGGTAAATCCTGAAAATTTCTGGGGGAAAACCTAAAAATTTGGGGGGAATTCCCAAAAATTTGGGGAGAAATCCTAAAAATTTGGGAGGGAGAACAAAAATTTGGGGGGGGGAAAACTCAAAAAATTGAGGGGGAAATTTTAGGGTTCCCAGTCCCACTTTGGGGTTCCCAGTCCCAAATTTTGGGTTCCCGATCCCATTTTGGGGTTCTCAGCCCAGTTTGGGGTTCCCAGTCCCGAACTGGGCGGCGCTGACCCCGCTGTCCCCCCCCGCAGAGGCCGCGGTGGTTCTGTCCTTGCTGGGAGCGCTGCCGGCCGAACTGGGAGCGCTGGGAGCGCTGGGGGGGCTCCAGCGGCACCTGCGGGGGCTCTGGGGGTCCCTGAGCGCCCCCCGCACCCCGGGGGAGCCCCCCCAGAGCCCCGAGCCCGCCCAGTGCCCCCCCCTGAACCCCTTACTGGTGCCGCTGGGGTTACTGGGACGGGCGGGCTGAGGGGGACGGACCAAAATTCCCGATTTGGGGGGGATCCCAAATTCCCTCTGCGCATTCCCAGGTTTTGGGGGAGGGGGAGAAAATAAATGTTTGGATTTTCCCAAAATTGGAGCGTTCGGGACTCGTTTGTGGCTGGACTGGGAGGAACTGGGAATGAACTGGGATGGACCCGCCCGGACTCCCCTCCACCCCCCCCCGCCATTTTCCCCCAATGGTTTCGTCCGCCTCGCGTTGGCCACGCCCCCTTGAAAAATCACGTGCCCCGTGTTTATTCCCTCCTGCCACGTGACGCTCCCCGCGCGGTGACGTCAGTCACATGACGTCAGTCACATGAGGGACGCAGCACCGCCCGGATCCTTCCGCGCCTCCGCCCGGGGCCTTCCCGGGACCGCCCGGGTTACCGGGACCCCCTCGCTGTTACCGGGACCCCTCCCTGTTACCGGGATCCTTCCCCCGTTACCGGCACTGGGAGCAGCTGGGGCAGCTCCGGGACGCTTTAGGAAGGGACTGGGACGGACTGGGAGGAACTGGGCTGAACCGTCCGCACCTTGCGTAGCGCTGTGGGCAGGGCCCTTACGCCATCTGCGTAGCGCCGTGGGCACCGGCGTGGCCACTCCGACGCGCTGGGAGGGAACTGGGCTGAACTGGGAGCGGCCTGGGAGGCCTTAGGAAGGCACCGGGAGGTGACAGGAGGGAACTGGGAGGAACGGGAACGAGCCGTACCACTGTGGGCGAGGCGCTTACGCCATTTACGCACCGCTGAGGGCACACCCCATTCCCTTACGCCACCTGCGTGGCGCTGAGGGCACACCCCGTTCCCTTGCGCTACTTGCGTAGGATCTCTCTATTACCGTCAACGGGCGCTCCTTACGCTGTTTGCGCGGCGTACGCCGCCGGCGCAGGCGCGGCGGGGGCGGGCCCGTATCCCTGCGCGCTCCCGAGGCTCCGGTGCAGGCCCGGTCCCGGTCCCGGTCCCGGTCCCGGCCCGGCCCCGTCAGGCCCCGGCCCCGCTCCGGCCCCCGGCCCGGCCCGGCCATGAAGTTCCTGTACAAGGAGGAGCATCCGTTCGAGAAGCGTCGCTGTGAGGGAGAGAAGATCCGGAAAAAGTACCCGGACCGAGTGCCGGTGAGGGCCGCGGCACCCCCGGGAACCCCGAAATCCCTCACGGGAACCCCGAAATTCCACCCGGGAACCCCGAAATCCCCCCCGGGAACCCCGAAATTCATCCTGGGAACCCCAAATTCCACCCGGGATCCCCAAAATCCCCTCAGGGAACCCCGAAATCCCACCCTGGGAACCCCGAAATTCCACCCGGGAACCCCGAAAATCGTCCTGGGAACCCCGAAATCCCTCATGGGAACCCCGAAATTCATCCTGGGAACCCCAAAATTCATCCCGGGAACCCCGAAATTCCACCCGGGAACCCCGAAAATCGTCCTGGGAACCCCGAAATCCCTCATGGGAACCCCGAAATTCATCCTGGGAACCCCAAAATTCATCCCTGGGAACCCCGAAATTCCACCCGGGAACCCCAAAATCCACCCTGGGATCCCCGAAATTCCATCTGGGATCCCTGAAATCCTCCTCGGGATCCCCGAAATTCACCCCGGGAACCCGGAATCCACCGGGAACTCCGAAATTCCATCCGGGAACCCCAAAAATCATCCTGGGAACCCCAAAATTCATCCCGGAACCCCAAAATTCCACCCGGGAGCCCCAAAATTCATCCCGGGAACCCCGAAATTCATCCTGGGAACCCCAAAATTCCATCCGGGATCCCTGAAATCCTCCTCGGGAACCCCAAAATTCCACCCGGGAGCCCCAAAATCCAGCCAGAGAACCCCAAAATTCCGCCCTGGGAACCCCGAAATCCTCCTCGGGAACTCCAAAATCCAGGCTGGGAACCCCAAAATTCCACCCGGGAACCCTGAAATCCTCCTCGGGAACCCCAAAATTCCACCCGGGAGCCCCAAAATCCAGCCCGAGAACCCCAAAATTTCTCCTGGGAACCCCGAAATTCCACCCTGGGAACCCCGAAATCCAGCACAAGAACCCCAAAATTCATCTTGGGAACCCCAAAATTCCATCCGGGAGCCCCAAAATCCCCCCTGGGAATCTCCAAATCCTTCCCGGGCACCCCAAAATTCCACCCCAGGATCCAAAATCCATCCCGGGCACCCCAAAATTCCCAAATTTTGGGGGCCCTCTGAGGTTTCCTTTCCCTGGCTGTGGTTTCTTTCAATTTTTGGGTTTTTTCACCTAAAATTCAGGTGCTTTTCTCTCCAATTTAAGGGATTTTCCCCCAAATCCAGAAAGATTTCCCCCCAAATTTAGGCAGCACCCCACCAAAACTGAGGAACTTTCTCCCAAAATTCCCAGGATTTCTTCCCCAAAATCAGGAAGATTCTGCCCCCCCAAATTCAGGGAATTTTCTCCTTAAAATTCAGGAATATTTCCCCCAAATTCAAGGTTTTTTTCCCCTAAAATCCAGGATTTTTCTCCCAAACTTAAAGAAAATTTCCCCCTTAAAATCCGGAATTTTTCCCCCAAATTCAAGGAATTTTTTTCCTTCCCAAATTCGGATTTTTCCCCCCAAATTTAAGGAATTTTCCCCCCAGGTGATCGTGGAAAAGGCGCCCAAGGCCCGGATTGGGGACCTGGACAAGAAGAAATACCTGGTGCCCTCCGACCTCACAGGTGGGATTCGGGAATTTCGGGGCTTTTTGGGAATTTTGGGGAATATTTGGGGCTTTTTGGGAATTTTTTGGGGTTTATTTCCAGTTTTCTAGGCTTTTTTTGGGGTGATTTCCGTTGTTTTGGTGGATTTTTGGGTGGGATTTTGGGGGTTATTGGGAAGTTTTGGGAATATTTGGGGGTTTTTGGGATTTTTTTGGGTTTATTTTCCAATTTTCTGGGGTTTTTTTGGGGTGATTTGAGGGTTTTGGGAGGATTTTTGGGGTGTTCTGGTTGGAATTTTTGGGCTTTTTGGGAATTTTTGGGAATTTTTGGGGGTTTATTTCCAATTTTCTGGGGGTTTTTTGGGGTGATTTGAGGGTTTTTGGGGTGTTCTGGTCGGAATTTTTGGGCTTTTTGGGAATTTTTGGGAATATTTGGGGCTTTTTGGGAATTTTTTGGGGTTTATTTCCAATTTTCTGGGTTTTTTT